TTGAGAAAAGTATTTGTTCTATAGACTAAAGTCTTCATTAAGAACATTCAATTTATTTATTTATATACGCAGACATCTCATTTTCTAAAGTTGCCTAACCAATCCGTTATGTAATATGTTGTATTTGCATTGTTTTTGGTTTTATTAAATTATTCACAATTTCAACGAAAAGCTAAAGAAATTTAGTTTTGTAAAATTATGTATTTTTTATATAAATATTGAGAAAAGTATTTGTTCTATAGACTAAAGTCTTCATTAAGAACATTCAATTTATAATTTATATATAGTTGCCCAACAAATCCATTATGTAATATGTAATATTTGCATTGTTTTTGGTTTTATTAGGAATTAGGAATTATAATTTATTAATGCACGTTCGTCCCAGAAGGGCCATTCTCTCGGACAATGAATTAAACATGATAATGTAAAAGTTTTTTTTTTTCTCGTTTCATACATAATCCTTTATAATATATATTTTAAAATTTAATCTTCGGGAAGATTTAAATATTATACTTTTCTAAAGTCTCTTTATATTTTCGTAATTTTCTTGAGTACCATAAATATACGTAGGACAAATCCATAGATGTATAGGAATAAATGTAGTAGACAATGCAAGTTTTGAATCTTGAATAAAACTATGCTCTAATAATGCATAGAAAAGGTCCTAAATAGGCATATCGAAACATGGCACGTAAAATTGAAACAGCCCTCATAAATAATACACCCTTGCCCAAATCCTATACATATCTTTCATACAGATACACGTGTGTGTAGGTATGCATCATCCCTTACATAATAATGGGTTGGAAGAGTTTTCCGGTGCGCTAATTGCTTGGGCAGCGCGGGTTGCCGTGGCAGCAGGAAGAGGGATTAACTTCGTTTAAGGGCCGCGCGATGGTCGTTTTTCATTTCGGCAAGATCGAATTGGATTCGGACGACTCGAGTCGGATGGAATCCGAAAAACAATTAATGGTTTAATGCCGGAAAATAATGACCTTTCGAAGAGAGAAAGAGAGAGAGAGTGAGGATTGTGGGTGGCTGTGGTTTGGGATGTTGCTGGATGGGGATGGTCTCGGTGTTCGGGAAAATCGCCCGGCCACATTTTCTTTCAATTAAACCATTGCCTGAAGCTGACAAAACAAATAATGGCGTTGCGAAATAAATTGAAATTTTCAAGCGCCATTGATTTATATATATATATAGATTTATGTACATTCGAAGAGAACAGGGCTAAAGTATGAACGGCTACTTGATAAATAACTTGTGATTCAATAATGCAAACAAGTTGGTTCGGTACAAGTTACTTGACAAGCAACGAGTAGTGTTTTGTAATTTAAATCTATTGATCCGAAAGGGCTGCATGCACATATTCCACTATGAAGTCCTTCATTTTTTTTTTGCTGGACTTATTTACTTTGATGTATCGATACGTGACATCGATAGTAGTGGTGAAGAGGCCATCCGAAGCCGTCGAAGTGGCGCTAATGGATTTTTAATGTGAGATTTCGAACCGATGTTTCTTATAAATTCCACGTGGAACCGTAGAAATTTATATAAACTGTCACAGCTTGCGGAGACCGGTCTTGATGAATTGTGTGTGTATGTTCCACTTTTTTTTTGTACCTGAGACATTTACATTCTTCTCGGAGGACGACAGAATCTAGCGAAGGGGGAATTTCTGTAGAAATTATTTCCCTCTTTCCGATATTGTTTCTAAAAAGTTTGCGCGAAAATAAGGGATTTCCAATGAAAATCTTACTCATTCTCAGTATTGCGATCCGAAGGAGCGGATAAACAATGCTTGAATTCCGAATTGAATTCGCCACCTCATCTCGGTAGCTTTCAGAATTTACTTCTTATTAGTAGTGCCTTCTGGCATTTTCGATGAAACGCAGACATCTCATTTTCGAGATGTTATGTAATATGTTATTTGTTTTTGGTTTTATTAAATTATTCACAATTTCATCGAAAAGTTAAAGAAATTTAGTTTTGTAAAATTATTATTATTTT